GGGGGGAATGGACCCATCTGAGCCCTAACATGGGACCTCCCGGGGGGTTTCAGGACTGCATCGATCGCTGGCTCCGGTCGGACGCATGGCACGAGGAAACGGGTCCGGAGCCTGATAACCTTGTCTAGGGCTGGCGGTGACTGCTCCGGCTAAAGCCAGGATGGGGCTGGCAGGGCCAGCGGCGTGGTTTTGCAACCAGAAGAGCATTTTTGGGTCCCCCCCCGCCACCCCACCATCCCAGCTCTGGCATATAGGGTGGCTGCGGTCTATGTGATTGCTGGCTTCCCTGTGAAATCAAACCCCCTGATCTCAAAGGCATCTGCCGCTGACGCGCAGCCTTGGCTCGGCCGCTCCAGGCTCCCCAGCTCGTGCAGAGCAGCTTCTCCGTCACGGAGCCAAGCCGTGACCTTGCTCCCCGGTCCATCCTCTTCCCTAGCGGGTATTTGGCCTCTCAACGCTCCCCTCTTCATTTTGCCGGTTCCCTATACGTCACGGTCCATATAATGTCGTCCCACGGCACGGCTGCATTGGGAGGCACCGCAGGGAGCCGCCAGCCCGGCTGGAGCAAAATGACCTTGGCCATGAATCGGCTCCTTCCAGGGGCCTGGGGTGCCAATGGCTTTAATCCGAGGAGGGGACTGGGAGCTCCTCTGGATGGGCACGGGGCTGGGGTTGCTCCCAGCCGGCCGGGGAGGCGAGGGCGGTGGGTGTATTAGCGATTTTACGCTGCTTAAAAGCACGCGCCTGGCTTTATTCAGAAATTGGGGGGGCTGTGCTGTGCCGCAGCACCGTCTCCGCGCCGTCCCCGGGTCCCTGCCGGCTGCGCAGAGCCGGCGTGGGCTCCCACCCTGGGGGGAGTGCTGCTGCCAGCCCTGGCTATTTCGGAAGGGCTAATTTTAGCTACCCCACTGTGCCCCCCATCCCCTTGCTTGGGGAGGGGGGACACCGTGCCGGCTGCGTCCCTCTCCCTGCGGCTCCCCCTGGGCCAGCAGCGCCTGTGCCCGCTGCCCAGGCTGGGGGGTCGGCGGGTCCATCCCTGGCACGAGCTGCACTGGGCTCTGCGAGGCCCCGGGGGGTGCACTGCCCGCCCTTGGCCTTCATGGCCTGTGGAGGGGGGGGACATGGGGCCAGGGAAGGCGGGTGCGGGATGCCTGGGGACAGGGACATGCCATCTGCAGATTAGAGTGGCTGGGGTGTAGCTGGGTGCCCCCTCTCCTCCCCAAAGGCCAGACCCTGGGGGTGCTGAGGGTGCCCGCAGCACCCCCAGCACCCCCCGGTTCTGCCCGCGGTGGCCGATTCAGCCTCTGCCAACGCCAGCGGCTCCCGCCAAACACA